CAGGGCACACAGATGGCTTCCAGGGAACACAGGTGGCTTCCAGAGCACACAGGTGGCTTCCAGGGCACACAAGTGGCTTCCAGGGCACACAAGTGGCTTCCAGGGCACACAGGTGGCTTCCAGGGCACACAAGTGGCTTCCAGAGCACACAGGTGGCTTCCAGGGCACACAGGTGGCTTCCAGAGCACACAAGTGGCTTCCAGAGCACACAGGTGGCTTCCAGGGCACACAAGTGGCTTCCAGGGCACACAGGTGGCTTCCAGGGCACACAAGTGGCTTCCAGGGCATACAGGTGGCTTCCAGGGCACACAAGTGGCTTCCAGGGCACACAGGTGGCTTCCAGTCACTCAGTTTGTCCCCTGGGCAGACTGTCCCAGCACCCCAACACTGGTGATGGGACCACATGGGTCACCCACGGTCCAGCAGAAGGAAGGAAGAAGTTTTGGGAAGGTCGTACCTGAAAACATCTCCAACACCAGCGGTCCATGTGGGCAGCAGCCATGGAACAGCCTGGAAGGAAAATCTGGGATTATCTTGTGCATCTCTTTGCCCCAAAGCAGTAAAAATGGCCGGAGATGATCCAGGCTGAGGCTGTGGAGCAAGGTGACTGGTTTCCAGTCCCAGACCATCATCTCTACCCCAGCCCCCACYAACCCCTGTGTGCTTTGATGTGGGAGTCAAATCAAGCTGCACTTAAGGGACGGGGAACAGCCACCCTTGGAGAGCAGGACCAGCAAAACCAGAGGGAGATGTCCCAGGGCCTCATTACCCTTTTAATGGTGACTTCATGTCCCTTCTGCAGAGAGCCACAAAAACTGCCCAGCCTGCAGGGAGGGAGGGAAGCCACCACCACCACCACCACCGGGCCCTGACAGCCCCATTTTTACAGGAGTGGGTCTTAAAAAGCGCTTTTCTCACTGGGACAGAGCAGACTTGGGAGGCTTAGGATGGTTTTTCCAGCCAGAATCCCAGCTGGAGGCTGGAAACGCCCCCAGGCTGTGCCTGTCTGGAGGGGTGGCTTAGCAGGTACCAGTTTAGTGGGTGCTTAAGCAGGTTGAATTTATCTGGGCACATGTAAATCTCAAAGGTGTTGAAGTCTCATGAAAGCCACCACAGCTCAAGGAATGTTTCGGGCCAAGCAGCTCAGGGATTTCCCCTGTAAATCTGGGTGGAAGATGTTGGTTTGAATCAAAAATGAACCCCTGGGAGCAGCAATTTCATCTCCTCCTGGGGAAATGGAAGGTCCTCTCTGCCAGCACCATCTCACCCACAACCAGGACAAAATGTGAGATGAGAAAAGGTCTCAARGAAGACGACCTGTGCATGAAAACCATTGCAGCCCTTCTCCTGGGAAGCCCAGATCCCGTCAGAGYCCTTCCTGCTTTGAAGCTGGTGGAACCTCCAGCAGGTGACTCGGACTCGCTGGCTTTGTGAAAGCTCAGCAGCTGCAAACCACAAGCCCTGGACCTGCTCCCTCTGATGTGCAAGGCTGGGCACCTGGAGAAGCCACTTCTTAGGGATAGGAGCAGGAGCTGGARGTTGAAGAGCAGGTTTGCTGTGGAGGAACGGCCTGACAGCTCGTCATGCAGCGGATGGGACCGCAGGGCTTGCAGCTGGACGAGGGTGGCTGTCCCAGGAGCGGCATTTTCCCTGTTTTCCAACAAAAAAAAAAAGGGATTTGGAGGGTCTGCAGCCCTCAAATGTGTCACCCAGGTGGCACAAGGCACTCCATGGTGGGTGGCTGAGGACCTGACCCCAGCCAGATCCTGATTTCTCACAGCTGGAAAAACTGGAAAGCTGCTGTTCTTGGAGGAGAAGGACATGGAGTCTTCTTGCCATGGAGTCTCTCTGTGGTCCTGCTGGGCAGCAGAGCTCCTGGTCCTGAAGCTGTGCAGGGCTGAGGCACAGGAAAAGCAGGACTAGAGCCTGGCTTCTCCCTGTTTTCAGTTTGCCTGTGGTGGTGCCAACGTAAAAAAGTTCATGAAAGCCAGGTCTGGACCTCCCTAAGGRCTCGGTGATGCTTTGTCCCATCCGWGAACGCCCTGTCCCCAGGCAGTGCTCCACATTTGGCTCCAGACCACACACCCAGTGTCCTCTCCAGGGGTTGCATCAACTCTTTGGCTCAAAATAAAACTCATTCTCAAAATATTTCCTCTCTTTTCCCTTCTGTGTAAGAGGTCCCCGTGCTTGGGTTACCTCAAAGTGACAYGAAGGATGTGGGTGGTACCCAGAAGTTCATTTGATTTCTCCAACTTTCTAGAAATGAGAGCACCCCAGGATAGTGGAAGGYGTCCCTGRMCARGAGATGGGATTGGAATGAGATGAGTTTTAAGGTCCCTTCCAACCCAAACCATTCCATSACCCCATTATTCCATGAATAAACATCTCATTGCAAGGTGCATCCCAAAAATCCRTGCACTATAATGGAACTACTATATGATTATAATTAAATATAATATTTTGTTTTTAATTTCAACCCATTATGTCACCTGTTAAAAAAAAAAGGAAAGACCTTTCCAGGAAAGATTCCACAAATGTTCTGAATATCCTGATTCTTTTTCACTTTTAATTCAAGACAATCCATTTCAAGTTGACAATAGCACGGAGTGAACCAGGTAATTTTGTCCCAGCAAAGATGAGAATATTTCTCAGGGCAATCTCTGCAATCCGCTGTGTTTGTGATTAGACCCCTTTGTTAAGGCAAAAAAAGGAAATTTGTTTGTTTTCCAAGCAAAATTAGAAAAYCTTTTTAAGAATTTTAATTAAGATGGGACGGTGCCTTCTCATTACCAGATATTACTGGAGGGATTTAATGATTTMTTGTCAAAAAAGGTGTGTCACGGGAAGATCAGGCAAAACCTCCACTCCAGCTGACATTTCTCAACCTGTTTGTAACACTTCACTTCCCTCCTTTGTTTCTTCTCCCGTTSGCGTGAATCCGCTGCGTGCCCCGGTCCCATCACACCCTGATTCGAAATTTAGAGCCTTCCCTGGGCACATAACTCAGCAATAAATCACTGTMATTTCCCAGAAATTATCTTATCTTCCATTCCATGTATTCCAAGGGGTGGAGGAAGCCACGCTGGGCCCTGGCACAGGTTTTCAGAGCAGCTGTGGTTGTCCCTTCCCTGGAAGTGTCCAAAGCCAGGTTGGCATTGTCCAAAGCCAGGTTGGCAGTGTCCAAAGCCTGGTTGGCAGTGTCCAAAGCCAGGTTGGACAGGGTTCAGAGCCTGGGACAGTGGAAGGAGTCCCTGCTCATGGCAGGGGGCAAAATGAGATGAGCTTTGCTGTCCCTTCCAACCCAAACCATTCCACGATTCTGTCAACCCCCAATTTCCCAGATCATCCTCCCCACAACCAGATTCATCCTCAGTACCACCATCAACATGGAAACCACCAAACCCCATCCTGCAGGTCAGCACCCGAGTTCCCTCTGAGATCCACAGCCATCCCCGCAAGAGGAAGGAATAAAATGCTTACGAGAACGCTCCCGACAACGTCAGTGCTGAGCTGGGATGGATCCGCCTTCCCTGTCCCTGTCACCAGCGGTCATTGCTCAAGAGCCCGCCCGGAGCTGGCCACCGACCCTGGAAGGGGCGGCATCGCCACATTTTGCAGGAGGTCCTGAAAACGTAATTAAACGCTGTGGTGAAACCAAACCGTAAACAAGCCATGAATAAAAACCCCTTGAATTATTTTGCTAAACTATAATTACACAATAAGGAAGCAGATTAATTAAGTAAAATATAAGTCCTGAAACTGAAGCTTGCAAGCAAAGCAGTTTATTTTAATTTCCACATTATTTCGTATGAGATACAAGTGTTTGCTGTGGGTTTAAAATGTTGGAAGCCATTCCTTGCTGCCAGGCAGACCAAACCCAGTGGATAAATTAAAATTTTGCATCTCAGGCACCTCCTGAAATGTATATAAGGGGAAGGGCTGYGCCTCAGAGGCTCTAAAGGAGAATCTCCTTCTTCCAGTCCCCGCTCCTCTCTTGTTCCTCCACTCCGCCGCCACTGCCCGCCCCAGCCTGGCCACCATGAGCCGACAGTGCTACACCTCCGGCTCCATCCTKGGGAGACGAGGATTTTCCTCCGCATCCGCTGTCTGCGGCTTGGGCAGACCCAACAGCAGCACGGCCTCCGTGTGCCAGCCCGTGGGACGGAGGTGTGGGATCGGCGGCTTCAGCAGCCGCAGCGTCTGCGACCTGGGCAGAGGGCAAAGGATTTCCTTCGGTGGCAGCTGCCGTGGCAGTGTCTACAGCGGGGCTGGTGTAGGGCGTTGCGGAGTGGCGTTCGGCGGGGGCCGTTTTGGCACCGTCGTGGGTTTTGGCAACTGCGCTGGCTTCGGGGGCCTGGGCAGCTACAGAGGTTTGGGTGACGGAGTGGCCGTGGGCGGCTTCGGCAGCGGCGTGGGCATGGGCATCAACGGAGGGAGATCCGAGGGTATCCGCGGTGTCAGCATCCACCCCGAGCTCCTCAAGCCCCTGTGCGTGGGYGTGGACCCCGAGGAGTGCCAGGTGCGGACCCACGAGAAGGAGCAGATCAAGAATCTCAACAACCAGTTCGCCTGTTTCATCGACAAGGTGAGAGCCTGCTCCCCCTGCCCTGCGCCCCTCAGATCCCCAGGGGCAGCGCTGGGAGATGTTTGTCTTGGTTTCCTGGTTTTTAAACATTCCTGATGGAATCCTCCATCTCCTGGCCTGGAGACCTTCTGGATTTAATTTTGTACTGAGGCAACACCAGCGCTGTTGTAGCTCTGGATGGTCACCAAACTGCTGCAGAGCTCAGGCAGGAGCAGCTCCAGGGATCAGTAAATTCAAACCTGTGAGTGGAGAGATGGAGACATGGAAGGATAGGAAGTTTTATTCCAAGGATATAATCTGATGTTGCTCTCAAAAATCTATAAAATCCAAAGGACTTCTGCATTCTTAAAGTAGTTAGTGTTCCATGAAGGTGATGTGGAAGGATGGATTTAACTAAAATGGGAGGAATTGTTTTAATTTCTCTGTCCTTCCACTCTGCGAATGAAATGGTTTAGTGATTTCCTAAAAAGAGGTAATTAATTGTTGCTTTCTTGGCTACTTTTAATGGTTTTCATGACTGTTATGGGAAAGAATTTTGCAAACAGCAAAGAAAATTTGCTCTGTCTGATCTGATCCCGATTTTCCTGGAGAGTTATTCTGCAACTGGAAAAACCAAATCTACCCAGGAGCAACAACTCCCGCTTCCTCCCATTTGTGAAATCACTTAGTCATGACCCATCAAGGTTCTAGAGAACCCTTTAATCTAGAAGTGAAAGGCATGATAAGTATCCACGGTTGAAGTTTAAATCAGATACACCCAAATGAGGTCCTGGATGGAGCTTTTAGTGCTGAGAAAGACTCGAGACTGCCCTGGGCCCGTTGGGAGGCTGAGGATCCGGTTCTGGGGGAGGAGRGAGGTGTCTGGTTGAGCCAGGCTCTGTGGGGAAGGGGAGGTGTCTSAGCCAGATTTTGGGGGAGAGAATGGGAGGTGTCTGACTGAACCAGCATTGGTTGAGCCCAGGATTGGCCTCAGCATGGAGTGAAAGTGCTGATGTTGCTCAGCTTGAGATTCGAGCTCAGAGAAGATTCTGGTCCCACTCAACCCCCTGAGACAGCAACACCCGACCATTTGCAATTCCGATTCGATTTTCACTTTTCCCTTTGGGAAACAGCGAATCCTTGGGACAGGAGGGGTTTTTCTGACTCTTCCACCTCTTCCCCTGTCCAGGTGCGGCTGCTGGAGCAGCAGAACAAGGTGCTGACCACCAAGTGGGAGCTGCTGCAGCAGTATGTGGTCCCAGCCACCCGCAGGAGCCTGGAGCCCGTGTTTGAGAAYTTCATCTGCAACCTGAGGAAGCAGCTGGAGTGCGTGATGGGGGAGCGCGAGCGGCTGGAGAACGAGGAGCGCTGCCTGCGCGACCTGGTGCAGGAGTTCAAGTGCAAGTAAGTCACGCCCAGGGAAGCTGCAGGCCTGGGCATTGCCTGAGTGGCATTCCTGAATCCAGGAAAAGGCTTTTGGATGGACCCAAAAAACAGAGCACGGGTCACGGCACCGCAGTACT